CACTCTTTCAAATTCCACTTACATACTAACATATTCAATATGCCTAACAAACTTAGGAGCATATGCATTGGTGAGAACTCAAATATATTTAATAAAATCTACTTGTTGAATTGTGTTTACCTTGACTTGCTCATTTGAAGTCACAGCACAGAAAACAATCTCTGTAAATCCTTGAGAGGGGAACATCCGAAAGCAGATGCCACCAATAACTCGACCATCTTTTATTAATGCAAGGGTCTTGTGCTTCCTGAGTAGACAAATATAACAGCCACTTTAGATCATGCAAGTAACCCAGATATGTCATTTTTTTTACATAAGCTTTATTCACTTCTTTCTGTGACACTAGTGCAATTGTTTGTACCTCTGTTAAGTTAGTTGCTTGCATCTACAGAAGAGTATTTTATCACTATGTTTTGAATTTACCATAAAATTCATCATTAACTTTCTCTTTTAATAACATTAGTGCGATTAAGTCCTGGCCTTGCCAATACTCCTAGATGTTAGGGTAATACAAATAGAGTTATATTGCCTTCATTGACTCTGATGCTGACAGCTATACTATTGCACAGTTTTCAAAATGATTATACCCTAAATTAGAAACTAATGGAGTTGCAGGAAAGAAAGACTCTTCTAAAACATTCTTGTACTCTGCAATAATGATCAGTCTTCAGCAAGCAATAAATTATATTTTGTATTTCTAATAATCCATTTCTAGTGGAATCAGTACCAGAAGAAATGTCCATTTCTTGCACTTACATTGCTTGCTAGGAAAGACATAATGAAGTTCCATGTAAACAGTTAAGGGAAAATTTGAGCTATATCTGTACTGTAGCTTACTCAATATTCTTTAAGTTGTATAACTAATAAAGCAAATTTACAGCAGATAGATAATTTTTATGTTTGGGGCAGAGATTGGTGCCAAAAGTGAGCCCCTTCCAAAACATGGGCAGCCCAAAGAGGAGTTATATTTTATGTGTCACTTCTGAAGGAGATTTTCTAGGAAATTCATTTTGCTGTTATAAATCAAGGTTAACCACCCATACTTGTTTTTCATTTTCTTGCACTTATTTTACTGCTTTTTATCTGTGGAATGACAGTGGCAAAATAATAGCTTGTGCTTTTAATTTTATTTCTTCATGCTTAAGCTGCTCATTTTTCAGTTGTTCCTAGGATCCAGTGAAGATGGCCATTTTGGAAATAAGAGTATGACAGATGGTAATAAGGTAACAGCTGAAAGAAACTTGGAAAGAGTTCTGCTGCACTCCCCCTCCTACACAACGTAGGTCTGTGTGTACTGCTGCTCAGTGTAGTAACAGTGTTCCTACACTCAGTTAACTCAGTATGTTACTCAGTGCAGTAACATGAGCCCCTGGAAATGCCGCAGATACTGGAGTTCTCCGCTGTCCACCCGACATGCTTTGCTTTTTCTGAGTGAACTGCTTGCCAAAGGCATAAGTAAGGGCATTTTTTTTTGCAATAACCACAATAACCAGACCTCTTTCTCAAGCCCAGACTATTCTCCTGACAAACACCCAAACAGCAGCAGTTAAATCCCAGCAATTCCTCTCCATCCACTAAAAAGCAGTGTCGTCCAACAAAGGACGGCCTCAAGAAACACGAGGGAAGGCCGTGGCTCAACATCTGCTACTTCAGCTTGTTTTGATGTTTGGCTGTCCCTAACCCTGGCTTTTTCAATCAGTGGCCTATCGGTTACAACTGGTCTTCTTGCGCTTCAGGGAATGTGTGGACCCATCAGCTACAGAGTCTGCTGGCACTGAGGCAGTATCAGAAGGGAAACGCCAGCAAGCCTAAAAGCAAATGAAACGGTTGCAGTGTTGCTTTCATGAGTAACATACTGACCACAAGGACAGAGGCTGGTAACACCAATGGTGAAGGCAGAGCTCTTGAACAGACTGGGCAGAGCAGCTGGCAGGGGTTAACTCGCAGTTATCTGTGAACCTAGCGAAAGAACCTCCTCCTTGTCTGAGCAGCTGAGGCACAGTCAAGCCAGGACACTAAGGCTGGGCAGAGGTCCAAGCGCACACTGTGTGCGCTGCTGCAGCCCAAGTGTCTCTTTTCAAGCTCCCGCGGTGTACAGTTGCAGCCAAAGCAAGAAAGACAATGTACACTATGACTGAAAGAGAAAAGCAAGATACTTCTGTGGGGAGCGATCCTAAACTTTCTCCAGCATTCACTTACATGTCGTTGTTCTTCACAGATCCTACAAGTTCTTCTCTTTGAAAAACTTCAGTGTCTTCTGCCATGTAGTTCTCCCTGCTCTGTCTTTGGGTTACGGACAGAGGATGGAGCAGCCTACAAGTCAGTATAGGGCCAAACACCATGCACAGGTACCACAATTATTTCCCATTTTTTATTTCTAATATCTAGAAGTATAACATATGTAAGGATTCTTCTTCTGGTCCTCTTCCCATACTAACAAACCACTTATTACTACAGTCACCTACATTAGACTGACCAGGAGTTACAGGGGCTTGAAAAGGTGGGAGAAGATGGAAAAGAGTGGCACACGCAAAGCTCCAGGTCACATCACCTTAGTATCCCACTTCTACACTGCTTCCTGGGACCAGGACCAAGTGCTCTGTTGAACTTGCCTGTGAAACTCCTCTCAAAAGGTACTCACGGATCAAAGACCAAGCGTGTGATGTACTCCTTTGGCATCCTGGGTAGCTGATGGGAGAACACATTCTGTAAACCAACCAGCCACATCATGATCTTTTTGTTCGGCTTCTGATTCAGGGAATTTCCCACCACATGGAACTCGATCACTCCCCGTCGTTCCTCCAACCTCGCTGCTTCATCCCGGGCTGAATGTGCTGAGAGGAAGTTGGTCTATGATAGAGAAGAGAAATAAAAATACCCTTTGGATGTTTCGTATGCACTGACAGAACAGCCTTAGAAGAACAAACATACACCCTTCCTTTTCAAGCTACCCTTTTATAAAAATAGACAGAGCTGTCTTTCATCTACCTTTTTTTTTTTAGATGAAGTGACACCATTAAATAAGCTGATTATAAGTCCAAACCACAGTATACAAAGGCTTACACAAGTTTCTTTTAGTAAAAAACAGATAGCAGCAGTGATGGTATGACTGAACAAGTGACAAAATCCCACGGAGGGCAACACTTATGCAGTTGAAGCTTATTCCAGTCTACCATAGCGGTTTCTTTAATCTAGCTACTTCAGACACTAGCAGTAGGAGTTCCTTACACATACTGCAAATTGCAAATGATAACGGCAGTGCAAGTACTATTATGCCTTTTTTTTTCCTCATTTTAGTTGTACTTTCCACTATCTACACAACTATCTTAAGAGCTTAAAAAGAATATTTCAATTCCTGACAATTCTGCTACTATATCTGGCAATCACATACACATATATCTGAATGGAGATGAAATTAATACAATTTATTTAACTTTTTTTTTTCAACATCATTTTACAATGCCCAAATATGTCTTCATGCATGCTGACATCATTAAATCTGGCAACAGAAACTGCTAGAGAAATAAAGGAAAACATTTTTGAACAGTTACAAGCTTGGCTATTTAAAGAAAATGTTACAATATAATACTGTATTAAAAACAGAAAAGTAATGCTCTGTTGTTACACAAGCCAAGCAATCTTCAAGACCTGATACACAGACATTATCAGATTCCCCTCAGCTCAAAGAAATCGAAGCACAATTATTGGTAAAATATCTACATTATATTCCATTTTGGAAAGTAAGATGCTTATATAGATACATGAAAACTGATCCAATTAATTCACTACCCACACAAACCTCCCCCAACTACAAGCTCTCCCCAAGCAACATTTCTTTTGCAGGCAGTAAGGCCATCTTTCCCTTGCTGTGTTCTTTTGGGGGCAAAGTTTGGCTGCTGGGTATCTGGTCACTGCCAGCCCCACTGCCCAGCTCGGGACAGTGTTTGTAACACTCAGCCATGAGCCGCAGTTCATCGTTTCAGTTAACAGTATGTTGCTCCAAACCTTCAGCAGCCTCTAGCTAAACTTGGCAAACATAAAATGCTGGCAAAACATCGGCTGGCAAAGGAAACAGTAGGAGGAAAAGCCAGGCAAAAGAAAAAAAAAAAAAAGTAGCAAAGTGCAATTCCGCACATGGCACAACTCTGCAATTCTGTTTGTTTTGTTCTCCAAACACAGGAAAGAACAACTGTGGAAAAAGGGGCAAATAACTGCTTAGATTAGCCCTTCTGCATTAAACAGGGGTTTAAAATTTGGATCTTCCATTCTGCTGCAAGGTTTGCACCCAATTTACTCTTACATGCTATATCTGGGATTAACAATAAATAAAGAAAAAAACAAACACACTATATTATGGAACCATCTTGTGACAAAAATACCATGAAAAACAACCTGGGATGTACTTCTTCACTATCACTAATCTCCAAGTCTCTTTACAATCAACACAAAATGCATTTAAAAAAAAATGTGGAACCATTCTTCACGCTAATCATATATTTTTTTTCAGTATTTTCTTCCACACATTTCTATTATCTTACTATTCTCACTCACAACATGGTAAGTTTTGTGGATGCATAGCTTATCTTACACGATCCACATGAAAGATTTATTAAAAACAGACAATTTACAAGATGTTTCTCACCTCTGGCCCAAGCATTGCAGCAGGATCTGTAATTGTTGACATTACTTCATTGATTAATTCAATAGGAATATCTCCTACAACCCTTGGCCTCTTAGAATCCTCCAGAGAATAAGGTTCATTATTTTTTCTCTTTTCCCCTATAAAGCAAAAACAGGGCAAATTTAAAACCATTAAATGACCAGGGACAGTTAAATCATTGTATTTATAAAACAGGAGCAACAAGAGCAGAACACTAACACGGAACAGCTTAAACATTATCAAAACCAGAGGTTAATCACTTTCTTAACTAACTGTTTTCTGATAAAGAACTAAGATTTGAAGTTCTCTTGTTGATCCAAAATTTGATTTGCAACTTAAATACTAATACTCCATCAAAGTTGTTAGTAGGCCTGTCAGAAGAATGCATTAGCTATTCAAAATCCTGACACAAGCCTTGTGGGTGAAGTATTGCTTTGAGCAATACCAGATAACACCACAAAACTGTAAGTTATTTCAGACTCCTTTTCTTTGTTATTATGAATGCTGGAACAGGACACTTTCTGCTGGAGGGACCCAAAACAGAAGTTAATCTCTGAAAACCACTACTCAGGGTAATCTAAAGCAACACTAACAAAGTTTAGACTCTCTAGCTCAGCTAAGATAGGAAAAGCCAGGCAAAAGATACTGGCTTAATCCAGGGACAATACTGGCATACAGAAAAAAAAGGATATGTATGTGACTTTTAGTAAAAACACCTCCACGTTGCTATTGCACAATGAACGCAACGATCACCATCTAATAACTACCACCATCTGTAACTATTGACAAGAGAAGCCAAAAAGCGAGTCCCCTTCCCTCTCCATTACCTAGATTTGGATCAAGGGCAGAAGAAACTTTGCAAGCTGGACTCATATTTCCACTGTTGGGTTGTTCCAGAGATGAAGGACTTGCACTGTATGAAACAGATCTTGCAACAGGAGGAGGACTAATGACTGCAATGGCATAAAAGACAGAGAGATTCAGGACAAAGAATGAACTACAGTGCTAGCTGAACCACTGGCACTACTATGGACCCAACTCCACAGCCATCCACTGCAAAGTTACAGAGAACCTTGTGCAACTAAGCAATGTCACTGGTGGGCAAGCAGAGACTCTGGAGTATCATCTCAGTGGATTTTTCTAGACTGGCACCTAACGCAGGTCTGTATCGACAGAGTTAACTGGTTGACTGGGCTGGTTTTACTCCATTGCAAGTATCAGACTTTTATTATTCTGCAGTGCTGGGCACAAGTTAAGAAAAGAAACTTCCTTCACATACCTGCCAAGCCAGCTGGTGTTCAGCCTTATCAAAAGACTTTTTGTAGGGGTCTATTGAAAAGTAAGATCTCATCATTCAACTTCAGCTGTCCGCTTAAACAGTGTTCAAAGACTGGCTACACAAACCAAACTCAATAAAAGGGGGCAGCAGTTAAGAGGATGAAATTATGCTTTTTAAAGGCTACACACTATCATCTCTCTCACTACATAAAAAAAAAAAACCACCACTCATCCCAAAATATCCATCTTTCATTTGTGTCAGGACTTTGTAAGGGCGATAAGGTGCCAGCTCATACTCTGAACACCTGCAGTCTCTCTCCTTGCATGCGTTTATCTTGATGGCATCACCAGTAACAGCCAGCCTCATGAGCAGCCTGTTCATGTTATAATCATGCTGAGAACCCAGTGCCTGAGAAGGATACATTAAAATCTGAAGCACTGTTGGAGAATATATGATGGAATGAACTTTGTGAGAAACATTATTTTAGAGTTGTACTGAACATGTGCCTAAGGCAAAATTCATCAGTTTATGAAGCAAACCAGAAATTTCTCGCAAAAATCTCTATCTGTCACAGTGGAAGTTTTTTCACTATGCTAGAAAATCCATTATCAGATAAAATGTCAGCAGTCAGCATGGTGAGCATGAACTGATTATCCGCAATTGTTACAAAATATGGAATTAAATTTCTCCAGGCTTCACATCCTAGCATACTAAAAAAAA